TGAAGTTGAGACAGCCTGAGCCCTATTCTGGTGCCTCGTCAAGAAGTTATCCCAAAGTTTAAAGTGACGGGTGCATGTGGCGCCGTGCACTTCTTGATGTCAGTCCCATTTGATTGATTGGTTGGTTGACATTTAACCCTTTGTGTGCAGGTACAGGTACAGTCCACTTTATTTTTTTTGTGAATTTTGTTGCTTATGAGTGGCTCAACAAATGCTGAGCTACCAAGAATTCAGTAAGAAGTCCCGGTGTGGTCGTACCTAATCAACCATTCTTTGAAGTTTGGGAAGAATCTTTTTTCTAATTCTATTACTGTTGATAGTGTTATTCTTATTGACATTATGAATATCATAATGTTTTTAGAATATTCAGATAAGTAGAAAATAAAAGAAAGGAATCTTTACAAAAAATCAAGGAAGGGTGAGTTAAGTAGGAATAATAATTGTCTCATTGGTGATTGTGTAAGTGATAAGCTAAAATCACAATGGCCATGGCATGTATGTCATGCCATCCCAGCACATTGGGTTTCCTGCTTTCCCACTACATTAGCAGGAAAAGAAGAGAAAGAGAAAAAGAAGAGAGAGCGAGAGCGAGAGAGTCTTTTAACTTTAAGTTTAGTTTAATTCCCTTTGCTACACTGGCAGCGCACTAGATCAAACACATGTCAGCATGGTTGCTAGACAAGAACATTACCGTTGCACTACTGAGCACACAATGAGGGAAAGGGAGAGAGAGAGAGGAGAGAGGGGGCAGAGAGGGAGAGGGGGAGGGAAAGAGTTAGAGAGAGGGAGAGAGGGAGGGAAAGAGTTAGAGAGGGAGAGGAAGAGGGGGAAGAGAGGAGAGAAGGAGAGAGGGAGAGGGAGAGGAGAGAGAAGGAGAGGGGGAGAGAGGGAGAGAAGGAGAGGGGGAGAGAGGGAGAGAAGAGAGAGGGAGAGAAGGAGAGAGAGAGGAGAGAAGGAGAGGGGGAGAGAGGGAGAGAAGGAGAGGGGAAGAGGGAGAGAAAGGAGAGGGGGAGAGAGGAGAGAGAAGGAGAGGGGAGAGAGGAGAGAAGGAGAGAGAGAGGGAGAGAAGGAGAGGGGAGAGAGGGAGAAGGGAGGAGAGGGGAGAGAAGGGGAGAGGGAGAGAGGAGGAGAGAAGAGGGGAGAGAGGGAGAGAGAGGAGGGGAGTAGGGAGAGGGAGAGGGAGAGGGAGAGAGGGGAGTGTGGCAATAGATTTGCATCTGCCATTGACTGGTGTCAATCCTCTCTCATTAAGGAGTGTTTGGTGTGGGTGTGAGTGCCCACAGGTATGGCTGGGTGCTGGAGGTCGAAGGAGAAAGTTGGGGCGGCTCCCCTGATGGCTAAGGCCTGGGTAGACCTGGAGTTGCTAGCTTGTGAGTGCTGATCTCAGCCTGGGCACTAGAGCTTAATAAGTGCTAAGCTGTGTCAGCTATCGGGAACGAAGGGAGCCTGCGGTCCAATGAGCAATCTGGGAGCTGTCCGTTCATCCAATCGAGTCTTGGCATTAGTCTTCGAGAGGCGGCTAACATGAGGTGCTGAGTACGTGGCTGTGGACCTTAGTGACCCAACCTGGGGATGTATGCAGCTACAGCTACAGGTTGTGGGGTTGGCTACAGGAGGAGGGATAGAGTTAGAGAGGAGTAGGAGAGGGAGTGGGAAAGGGAGAGAGCTAGAGAGAGGGAGAGAGTTAGAGAGACAAAGAGAGGGAGAGAGTTAAGAGAGAGAGGGAGAGGGAAGAGTTAGAGAGAGGGAGAGGGAGAAGTTAGAGAGAGAGAGGGAAAGAGTTAGAGAGAGGGAGGGGGAAAAGAGTTAGGGAGAGAGAGTTTAGGAGAGAGGGAGAGAGTTAGAGAGAAGGGAGAGAAAGGCTGATGTCTATGAAAGGGGATTTATCACAGTGGATGTTTGTATCAGTGTGGTGTAGGTTGCTCCCTAGGAAGACGCTAGACAAGTAGAAAAACTTGGCAAGTGAATGGATGTTCAACTTGCTTTCTCTTTTTTCCTCTCTCCCTCTCTCCTACTTTCCTTCCTTCCTTCATTATCCTTGCTCTCCTCCTCTTCATACCTCTAGCCTTCTTTACACTTCTCTCAAGTTGCTTCTTCCTTTAATGATCCCAACAATATAATGTTTTCTTCCCCAGGTTTGATGAGTATGGTGACAGGCAAATAGTGGCTGGTACTCACTTCCTTCCGTCTGCCATTCTGGCTTTGATGCCGAGGTACTTGGTCTGTGGCACCCAAGAGCTTCTGGCTGTGGTAATGGTAAGTCAGAATTGTGACATCTTAGGCTGCTTTCACACCAAGGTGACACACTGCATGAGTCATGTTATTCGAAAACAGATATCTAGAAATATATGAAACCTTTCACACACAAGTGGCATGGCATGTCACATGTGCCAAGTGCGATTTGTATGCCATTTCTGTGTGAAAGGTTTCATATACTTCTGGATATTCATTTTCATGCCACTTGTGACATACCACCTTGGTGTGTAAGCAGCCATAGGCTCCGTTTTTGAAGATTATGGAGAATTAGAGGTGATATTTATGGATCTCATTTTAGCGAATGTTGAATTCTCTTTGGTAGAAGAATCAAGGAACCAAGAGAGAAAAAGAGTGAAAATCAAAGGAATCTCTGTATTTGATGGGCAATACCAAAGTTGTAGCCACTATGGAGGGGTTCTCCAAGTAGAAGTCAACTTGAGGAAGTTACATTGGTGTTTTTCACAGATCATCTGAAGATTTTCCTCTTTTTCAGATGCTCTCTCTTGTTTTTGTTTTTTTTCTTCAGTATTTCGATAATATTTTGTATTTTCAAAGCCCGCTGATTAAATACTAGAATGTGATCAGTGTCCAGGTCGCATTATCTCAATAAATGCCAAATTTGCACATTCGCTAGTTTGTTGACCCACTAACGACGGGTGTCCCACATATGAGACACCTGAAAAAATAAACATTGCCAGGTGTCCCGCCAGTGTGACGCCATATAGGGTTTGCGTTCCGACGCAACAGGGCAGAGTCCAGGGCAGCCCCGCCTGCCAATTTTGTAGCCACCCAGAATCTTTTATTTTCGGCTTTAAAATATACCGGTGTTAATGGGTTAAAACACCAATGGTTTATCCAAAGTTTGATGGACTCTTTAAAGGCAATTTGGGAAGTGGGAAGTGAACACTCAGAGGGCAAATGAGTTCACAGTAGATTTCTCATGCACTAAACTTAACAAGCAGCCTTGCAAAATATATGGAGAATAATGGCAAAATTGGAAAATAAACCAAATAGGGATCTTCTTCCTTACTATAATGATACAGTACACGAGTGAAGTATCAGACAAGATATTGCAGGTTGAAATATTAGAGAATCTTTAAAGAATATTTTCAGTTATTATGTGAGCATCACTTGTAGAACATCTTTATAAACCATGAAGTACATGCTTTCAAAATAAATTCTACCTCACAGGCTATTAAAGAAGTTTTAGTTTTACCATATTTAGAATATATAAACTACATCACAAAATACAGTGAAGACAAAGCAGTAAGTGAATGCAACAGAACTGGTTGAGGAGCAGCAAAGCTCCAGCTAACAACAGAAGCTTTTGGCAAAACATCCTGTTGCCATCTTCATTCTTAAATGATGCCATTGCTTCAGATATGATGTACAAACTTCGGACAAAGGTCTTAATATCAGGCAAGATTTACTCAAATTAGGGGGGATGAATTTCACTTTGTTGCAAAAAAAAAAAAAAAAATTGCATTTTGGATAGTTCTCAAATTAAGTTTTTATGCACAGTATAAAGCATAGTTTTTAAGAACACATTTTTATTGATTCTCTAGGATTGCTAATGCATGCTTGCTGTACAGCTGTAATGGTAAACAATGGGATTTTAATGTATTTCTTTACTTGTACAAATATTTTTATTCTTCATGTTATGTAAATGTTCATTAATCAAAATATTGTTCAGTTGTCTTTTGGTTATGATTATATTTTAGGTAAAAGGAACATCCATGACTGAATTATAAATTCAATTTCAGAGAAAACTAACAACATGCTAAATGTAATGTTTAACTGGATGCTGCTGAGAAAATGTAATATTGTCTGTTGTTTTGTTTTGTGAAATGTATCTCTGCACAGATGGCTTCACAAGTGCTCAGCCACCAAGGAGTCAATGCGTAGTCTACATGGCTCACCTGATTATTCCCTTCCTCGAGTTTTCAGGATTCCCCCCCCCCTCTCTCTCCCTCATGCTGTTAAATTTGATACTATTATTATCATTACTGTCATTATAATCATTACAGCTATTAAGAATAATAATATCAATATAAAATAAAAGGGTAAACAGATGAGATAGGTTGGACTTGTGCCAGACTTTGTGACAAGGTATCTGTGGAGTCATCAATGTGTAAATGTCAATAATAAACTAAACTCACTGTGGGCATAGCATATTCGTACATGACACTAGAGGTTCCCAAACCTGCCGGCAATTGCACTTCTACTCGGACAAGTAATAATTAGCAACAAACTTTGTTTAGAATTAACCCCTAGCCGCCGGGTGGCATGTACGTACATGCCATGGCTGTTGTGGACCGAAAGACGGGTGGCATCATGTTATGCCCATTCCCGTGCCACTGGCTGGAGTGTTTTTTTCCAATAGTAGTGGCTTCATTTATATGGTAAAGATTTTAGGCAATGACACCTAAATGAAGGTAAACCTTCAAAATTTTAATAATTTTATAAATTATAGCAAAATAAAAGCTTTTAGGTGCTAAATGTCGCTTGCAAACTACCGATCGAGCCAGGCGCAAACGGGAAACTGCCGATGAGCACCAACAACCCCATCCATACGTCCACTTGCCAAACATTTTTACCCGTCGGCATTGGGTTAAACATAGGGTTCTGATAGAGTTCTTGAGTATGGTCCCAACACTGACTGGATTCAAGTCTATTTAAGTCCAGTAGCTCTAACTTGACAGAAAAGGTGTAACTTCACAATTCTAGGAGATTTTAATGAAACATATATATATACCTCTTTGTATCTCTTACCTTGTATTCCCTAAAGGAGCAATACAGTGAAAAGGCCTTTAAAGGTATACTTGTGCGTTTTCTAATTGTTCCTTTTCCAGGGCTTGTAATGCAGATTTCCCCCCCTTAGATTTGCATTTTGATATTTATAATGCAATTACTATTCAAAACAAAGTCTGCACAGGCTCGATTTTCTTTATTATTATTATTTTTTTTAAGGTGTTTTTGTTATATTGAATAAAAGGATAGTTGAATTCAGGATAATAATATAACCTTGACAATTATATAATATATTAAAAAGATAGATTCTGATTTAAGAACTTCCACTTTACAGAAAACCCTATCATAATAATAATAATAACAACAATATCTTTGAATTAATAAGCTAATAATTTTCTTCTTCTTTCTCATATTAAGAAATGGCTCCGTTATGAAGCAAGTGACTGACGGATTTGTAGCGCATCAAGTGCTGGCCACCTTCGTCTAGGTCGACTTCCTCGTCTCTGGAGAAAAAGAGAATTACTAAGAATACTAAAACAATAAACAAAGATGATATAGAAGTATCTTAATATATTTTTTCCTACAAGCTATACATTTTGGAAACAGAGGTGAGCTTATGAAAAGAACTAAACGATAATGATACTGTCAATAATCACGATCAACTATGGAAATTCAAAAACAAACATAAGTACTGAATAAGCAAAGTTCTGCAATGTTCTGTATACTTTGGTCACAACAATAAAAGGTAATTCTCAAAAAGACAAACAGACTATACTGTTAAACCTAAAAGGCTGGTGACCATGAAAAAGAGATACTATTAAGGCTTTCACAGAACCATGTAATAGTGAAAGAGTGAGTCTTGAGAGAGAAAAAACTAAATTAAAATAAAGGTAGAGCAAATTACTGCATATGGACATCAACATCCATTTTGCCTTTTCAGATTTGTTTTTTATATCTAATCCAGGTATATGGATTGAAAAATTGTCTTGCAGAAATATACCAAAAAGGAAAATAGTTTAAGGCACTGCAGGGAACTAGTAATATGAATGTATGGTAAAGCCTTTGTGCCAGTGGAACAGAACACGTTAGGAAAGTGGGAAAAGGGTTAAAATTATTTAAACAAAATGTGTTAGACATCAAAAGTTATACAGCACTATAGGATAGTATGGTAGTGAAAAGGGTCAAGATGAGGGGAGGTGAAATGGAGAAAGTTAAAGGGGGAAGGATGATTAGATCAAATGGAGAGTACCTATGCATCAGAGGAAAGGGAACAAATTGTCATAGGAAAAAAGTTGGGGATTCCATGGGGATGTCCAACAGGTTGGGAGGATTGGGGACAGGGGAAGACTAGCAGAGGTATGGGCTGCAGTGAAGTGGGGATAGGACAACAGAATGTGTGTGACTGAAAGAGGAACAGTGCATGAGAACCACTGTACAGATGAGCCATTATGAAGCAATCAATGGGTAACAAGGGTAGAACTAGGTGTCAGAAAAGTAGAACCTAAGGGATGAGAAAAGGGACCAAGGTGAAGGTGAAGTATCAGGAAGAACAGTAGGAGGGGAAGGATCTTGGAAAGGACACTGTTGACAAAAGAGAGTCATGTGAGCCTCCAGGAAGGAGCAGAAGGGATAATGGAGAAAAAGGAGAGGGGCGGAAGAAGATGGGGAGAAGGGCAGATAGGGTGTGTTGGGAAGAAGACCGAAAGGGGAAACAGAGGAGGATAAGGATGGAGGTTTGAATGTAGAGGGAATAGGAGTAGAGAGACTGCAGAGTGGATGATGGAGAGGAATGTTCTTGTGTGTCATGTTAAGAAGTTTTGGATGTCCTTAAGAGATCTGGAGGGGAGTTGGGTGGGGGTGTATAAGAAACCAAGGTTTTCTCATTAGGAGGAGGAGTAGAAGAGGAGACAAACGTCCGAGGAGGAGAGGAAGAAGCAAGGGTAGGAGATAATGTGGTTAAAGATAGGGTGAAACATTTAGGTTGCCTGGTGAAACAGGTACATTGAGGAGGAGGAAGAGGAAGCCACTGGGGAAATGGTAGATGCAAGGGCATTCTGGGAAGAAGGGAGAGGAATGGAACTTTGGAGAAGAGTGAGTTAAATGCCTTCTGGACTGTGTTGAGTGAGGCCAAGTTTGAATCCAAAAGATTTAGGCAGGGCAACTCCTATAAAATATATAATGGTAGCCACCACAATTGGCACACATGCATGATTGTGCAGAGTAATTTAAATGCTCAGGACCAGACTGG